TGGCTTTTTGAGATGTGAAGATGAATCTTGTATAAATGTCAAGGTTAATGGGAGTATAGTTAGCTTTTTGGTACTGTATGTAGATGACATACTGCTCATAGGAACTGACATCCCAACCTTACAGGAAGTGAAATCCTGGCTTGGGAAGTGTTTCACTATGAAAGAACTAGGAGAAGCTGCTTATATCCTCGGGATAAAGATTTTGAGAAACAGGAGTAAAAGACTAATTGGAATTAGTCAGAGTACCTACTTGGACAAAGTGCTGAAAAGGTTCAATATGGAAAACTCCAAGAAAGGAGATTTACCTATTCAGTGTAATGCCAGACTGAGTAAAAATCAGAGCCCTAGTACAGATGAAGAGATAGCTGAGATGAGTCAAGTCCCATATGCTTCCATTGTAGGCTCGATCATGTATGCTATGACTTGTACTCGTCCTGATGTTGATTTTCCTTTAAGCATGGTTAGCAGATATCAGAGTATTCCTGGCAAGGCTCATTGGATTGCAGTAAAGAATATTCTCAAGTACCTGCGAAGGACTAAGGACTAGGTCCTTACCCTTGGTGGGAGTAATGACTTGAAAGTAGCAGGGTATAGTGATGCTAGCTTTCAGAATGATAGGGATAATTTCCGCTCTCAGTCGGGCTGGGTCTTTACTCTAAATGGAAGGGCAATTACTTGGAAAAGTTCCAAGCAAGATACAGTGGCTGATTCCACTTGTGAATCAGAGTATATAGCAACAAAGGAGGCTATATGGCTAAGGAACTTCATCGGAGACCTTAGAGTTGTACCAGCTATTAAGGAGCCCATTGAAAATTTTTGTGATAGTGAAAGTGTTGTTGCCTTAGCAAAGGACCAAGGGATCACGGGAGATCCAGGCACATCGACAGAAAATATCATTTCATTAGACATCGAATAGAAGAAGGAATTCTCGTGGTAAAGAGGGTATCATCAAATGAGAACCCGGCAGATCCCCTCACAAAGGGACTTAGTAAGGTTAAGCATCTTCAGCATGCTAGGAGCATAGGGCTAAGAGATGTTATTAGTTTTAGAAGTTAGATAATTTTGAAATATGTAAAATGTAATTGAGATTTGATGATAAATAAAAGTTGTTATTTATGAGTAAAGTGTTGCTATCTCTTGTCAATCATTTACTAGTATTTCATTTTGCATGTTATGACTTCCAGAATAATTATGTTATGGTATATATCATATTTTTCAAATTATCCACAGTCAATCATATGTTGGAAGTACATATGAATCAAGACTGTCATGGGTTGGTTTGTAGAGGCCCAATATGTTGGACAAAGGGGGCTACACCACTCATGAGTGCTCATAAGTTCTGAGTATTGGATTCAAACCACGCTCACTGGTATCACTTCATGGAATTTATCTCGAGTGATCATGAGATGGTAATATCATATAAGTCTTCAAACCTAGACATATGATTTGTTACCTATGAGTTGGTTATGCATTGATTGTACGAAAACGCATTGGTAACTCGATGTTATAAAACGTACCTTTGTGTGTAATTCAACAAGTAGTAGAGCAAACATATGAGTCAAAGTTTATCTGTTCCTTCTTGGATTAGAAGCAATATATGGTCCCCTCAATGATTTTGTTTTGACCCATGTACCGGGCCCGGTCAGAACTAAATTGATGTGTTCAATTAAGTTCTATGTCAAACAAATCGGAATTCGGGAAACAACTTCTAGACAATAGAAAGACATTGTTCCATGCATTTGTCTGGTTGATATCTAGAGTAGAGGATTATATGATCACTTATCTATAATGGCATACCATCATCTTCTCAGTTGTGAGAGACCTTGAAAGAGCTACGATTGCTGATCGGTTCCTGAAATCATACTTGCAACTATAGTTATTAGACTTATCCAAGTGGGAGATTGTTGGATATAGTGTCTAAGTCCATAACTATATTTGGTATGTACTTGACCGGACCCAGCATGGTCCATTTGGGCTGCATGGCATCATGCACTTGGATAGACTAAATGAGAGAAATAAGACACTTATGGTTTATTAATATATTATAAGTTCTAATATATTAATAATAAGAATAATAATATTTAGTTAGTATTGATCAATAATTAATTTAGAATTAATTATGTGATCAAAAGAAGACTAATTAAATATATGGGTTGATTGTGTCAATCATCCATAACTTATATAGTGGGCCAAGGCTCCATGGATTATCAAGTTGGGTTAAACCAATAAGATGCTCCATGGATGCTCCATGGGGGTTACATAACCCATGGGTCATGGAAATGAAAGGTCATGACAATTAGGGTTTACATGGTGTAACCCTAATTGTAACATACTATATAAAGAAGCTATTCTTCACCATTTTCGGCTACTAGAGTGAAAAAAAAGAGGGATAGCCGAAATACTAAGTGTTCTTATTCTCTTAAGAGTTTATTCCAAGTGTACTTGGTGTTGTGTGAATCATTTGAGGCATCACACTTGAGGTGCTAGGCTCACAAGGTTTCAAAGGAATCCAAGCTACAAAGAGGTATGTAATTCTTACTAACTATTAGAATAATAGATCCCCATGTATGCTAGATAGGATTATGAACCTTGGAAAATCATTATGAATGTATCTTAGTCAAACATAGATCCAAGGTTTCTAGGGTTGAATGTACACCATAGGAGTGTTAGAATGCTCAAAACCCAACAAGTACAACTCCTATTTATAGGAGAATCTGAAAGTATACAAAAAATACTAAGGACCAAACATCAAACTTTGAAACACAAAATGCCTTAGTAAATAGATAAAAGACTTTCGAAACTGCTAATACAAACTTTGACACATTACAACATATTCGACACTAACATTCTCCCCTTTTGTAATAAGTGTCGAAGTCAATTGATCAAAACTTGAGCAGTTGTATGTAACAATTTTCGAACCTCAGCAGACCGATTCCTAATCTTTCGCATCTCAGCCTTATCTCCTTCTGTGTTCTTCTTACAGTTATTCATAAGCACAATTAAGTTTGTATATTGGGCTGTTGTGTATCTTTCAACATCATTAGTTTGGAACAAAAACTTTGATTGTTTTCCCTTCTTAATCTTCCCAACAAAAACTATTCCATAAGGTTTCAAGCAGATCTCACCATCATCATATGCTATCATATCAACTTTGCTTTTCAACATTGATTGAGGAAAAAAAATTCTTTACCCAATGACATTGCTAATTCAATATCAGTCAATGCTAGGCAATCATAGTAATTGCCTATGAAAAGCTTGAGATGTCCTTACCCCAACCGCAACACTTGTTTGCTGGTTCCCTGAAGTTTCGATGCGTCTGAGTCCTTGAGAATGTATACAACTTGAATAAGATCATTCAAGTTCATTAATGGAAAATCAACTAAGGATATTAGCCCTCACAACATGATATCTGGAATTTTGCAACATAGTTTCGAAAAGTTCATCCTTCGTAACACTTATCACTTGGACGATCTTCACAAGCAACAAAACTTCCTCTTGATCTTTCCCCAAAACTGCATGAAATCTCAGCTTCATTTGTGTAAAATCATTTGGATTCTTGAATTTATCAACAATTTTGTATTGAGCAGTAATGGACATCATCTCATTCATTAGGAAATCAGTTGATTCATTTTAGATTTTTTGATAGAATAACTCCTCCCAGGCTTCTTCTCGAAATCATGCATTTCATTATATGCCACCCTTGCTTCGATGTTTCCATAACTATGCAGCTTCCTTGGATCTCCTTTGTTGAGATTTGGAGGATCATTCTGACCAAGTCTCAAATACTTTGAATTTGTCTTTGATTCTCCATCTCAGCCTCAATCTATGCCTTTCTTTCCTCCTTTGATTTTTCAATTAAAACATTTTCCCCATGTCTTGGCTTATTGGTGTTTCTTTCGGTTTTGATGCACTCCCTTCGTCACTTGTTCCAATCACATTGCCTTTGAAAATTGGCCTTGTAGTTGTAACTGTTGAAACCACAGGGTCAGCTATCGGCAATATTGGCTTTGTTGAAGGAATATTTGTTGCAAATACTTTACCCACAACCTTAGCTTCATCTTCAGTTTTCCCAGAAGCTCCTTCCCCAACAGAAATTTTCTCTACCCCTTGCACCCCTGTGATAACAGGCAGGGAATTCGTTGGTAGAAAACTAATAAGCTTAAATAACGGGGCCAATTCTTTTTGAAGAACATTTTCAAATAACTGAAACTTTTGAGACAAAAACTTAGGAGTTATTAAGGTAGAAGATCCTGACTTCGAAACAAGTTCTTTTAACTCAGTTAGCAACTTGTTAATTTCCGAAAAGCTCTGAACTTCATCGTTAGACATTTGCTCCACCCTTGGACCAAGAACTTCATATAGCTTGACAAATTTCGTAACAACATCGGCTATTATGTCAATTTTCTGATTAAGGGAAGCAAAGTCTTGTTGAACAACAACTATCTCCTTGCTCATATCATCTCGAAGTTCTTGAAGTTTGAAGTTCACATCCTCCCCAACATTCTTGACATCTTGAATGAACAAGATGTGACGTTCTTTTGCAACATCCTTCAAATCCCTGAGATCTGAAGAGAATGTAGATAATTGATTCTTGACACGTTTTTCATTATTTCAATCCACATCAGAAATGGCATCATGAAGATGGCCTTCTTGTCATTTGAGCATCAAATCAACTTCCATGCTTAATACCGAATGTTATCGAAAGTGGGTGAGTGAGTATCAAGTGAAATGGTAACGAATGGACGTAAAGTGGTTGAAGTGTTAATGGTTAAAGTTTCAAAGAGAGAAGAAAGAATAATATGTGTACCTTGAGTCTGGGAAGTTTCGACATTGGACACCATAGGAAGAGAAACAATGATTAGTTTAGGCCATGACAATTGCGAAGAGATAACTATCATTTCGACATTTGAAGTATCTTGAGATGTTGTCACCAGAGGATCCTAAATGAAATCTTCTTCTGTAGATTAGGCAATAATCACCAACTTTCGAAGTCTCTTTTTCTAGTTCTTGGAAATGTGTTTGGCCATATCTTTAGCTTTTCTTTTCTTTGCTGATGGGGAAACAGGAACTGGAACTTCGCGAAGCACAACACCTTTTCTTGTAACGTGTGGCTTGCGAATCATGGATGGAGAAAAGCTGGGAGACCTGTCAGAAGAGCTTCGTGACATATGTTCCATCTTCTTAATTTTCTTGAACACATCGGTCTTTGAAGGAACCACTTCTTTTAAAGGTTTGACAGTCTCTGGTTCAGTTTGTTTTTCCTCGACCTTTGAAACAGTAACTTCGTCATTTTTATTCTTCTTCGGAGAGGACATGCTAGTGGCGGGGAAAGAGGCTGGACCAAGAGGCTGTGGGATGAAAGAAGTGGGCTGGCGGAGGAAGCCTAGCATGAAAGTTGACAGGTTGCTGAGTTGGACCCGATAGTGGGATGTGTTGCTGTTGTGATCCTGTAATAAAGCTGAAAAAAGCTTGATTTCCGAGTTCCTGAGTTGCCATGTTGGCATAGTAGGCTTGAGCATTCCCAAGAATACCTGCAAAAGAGTTAGGAGCAGCCAAATTACCCTGATTAATGCCTCCTTTTGACACATTTTTGTTTTTGTTGCGATATTTAGACCATTTGTTCTTTGACTTTCCAAAATTCGTTGAGGAGGAATAGAGAGCCACACTTGTTGTAAAAGGTGCTTCAATGGTGGAATCACTATTAGCTTCACGTAATTCAAGGAGAAGTAACATATTTTTTGCATCAAGAAAAGTTGGGAATGGTTTCGTGTTGGTAATCACATCCACAATACTGTGGTAGGAGGGGGGTAATTGATGTAGGATTTGCATTACAAGTTTGTAACGCTCGTAGATCCGGGCTAGTCAATTTAGAGACGATAAGCATCAAAAATGACTTTTTGATGGAATATTATTCAGAAGGATTAATCTTAACCAAGTTGTAGTATATGTCACAAGGTTTCCGTGCATATAAAGAATGCCAAAATCCGAGTTATAACGAAAAAGTTATGACCTGTCAAAGTTTCGCGACAGAACCGACACGACGTTGAATGATGTAAAATGTGAATTTACGTTAGAGTGATATTTAGCCTTAGCAATCTAAACGAAAGTCGTAGAGTTCATTAAACCATGAGTGTGCATAAAAAGAACGTCCAAATCTGACTTCGTATGAGGAAGTTATGATTTTTCTAAGTTTTGACTTAGCGGTATGCAGCCCGAATACTCGATTTGAGACCGAACAGTTTTTAGCTGAAACAGTCTAAATGAGAACCGAAGATCTTGTTAATAGTAGTGAAACGATAAAAAGATAGGCGAAAACGGACATCGGATGAAGAAGTTATGAATTTATAACGGAATTTTCCTATCCCGGTCTACTAAAAATAAATAATAAAAATAAATTGAAAATTAGCCGACGGAGTCTAAACGAAAGTTGTAGATCGTAGTCTCACCTACGCGGGGATATAAAGAACGTTGAAAACGGAGCTCGTATGAGGAAGATATGAATTTTTGAAGTTTATTAAATAATTAAAGTATTTAATTTAAATAAAAATTCGGATATTATCCAAAGGGGGGGAGTCATCGGGCTTATCCACATTACGCCCAACGTAATTTGGGTTTCAGCCCCCTATAAAAGCATGTCGAGGGCATCCGATTTTTTTGCTCATTTCTTCCCCTTTTCTCGTGTTTTTGCATCGTTTTTCGTGCAAGAAATATCCCGAAGCCCTGGTATGATTCCCGAGCCCCGAAGCAAGTCCCGAGGCCCCGAAGATCCCGAGAAGTGCAATTCCCGAGCCGAAGCTCTGCCCGCGAGGAGTCCGGTTTTTGTGAAAATCTTCCAGATCTACCGAAGAACACTACTTCTACAAGTCGTAGTGCTGTCCGATCATCTTCTGATCAAGTGAGTGTGTAGTTACCTTCTTCTAACGCATAAATATCAAGTATTTGCTATGAAATACGTGCTATGTGTATAATATAAAGTTTTTTATATGTGTGGGTGTATAGTCCCTTTCATAAACTCGGGTATAATACAAGTATTGTTTGAATGTATGAAGTATATGTTTGGGTGAACGTGTGTAGTTACCTTCTTCTAACGCATAAATATCAAGTATTTGCTATGAAATATGTGTTATGTGTATAATACAAAGTTTTTTATATGTGTGGGTGTATAGTCCCTTTCATAAACACGGGTATAATACAAGTATTGTTTGAATGTATTAAGTATATGTTTAGGTGAACGTGTGGTTACTTTCTTCTAACACATAAATATGAAATATTTGTCATAAAATACGTGTTATGTGTTTATATATTGTTATTTATTTTAGATGAGTGTGGAATGAGTGTTTCATATAGTTTTTTTAATAGTTAAACTGTATATGTATTTTATATCTACAAATATGTTAGGTAGAACATGGGTAGATGAGATAATTGGTATGTGATAAAATGATGAGGTATGAAAGATGCGCTTAAGAATAATATCGGTAGATGCACCAAGTAGTGAATGTCGTAATCCTGGCAGATGCGCTTATAGGATAATGTCGGCAGATGCACCAAATAGAGAATGTCATAATACTAGCAGATGCGCTTATGGGATAATCCTGGCAGATGCGCTTATAGGATAATGTCGGCAGATGTGCCTAAAAGAGAATGTCATAAACCTGGCAGTCGCGCCTCATAGTGTATGACGTAATCATGGCAGAGGCGCTTAAAGGATGATGTTGGTAGATGCACCTTATGTAGCAATAGATTTTGTGCTAATTCCTTAGGTCAATCCTTAGGAATGAATGAATGACGGGTAGTTGAATTCTTAGGGTAAAATCCTAAGAAATAAAGAAGATAATGGGGATGGGTAATTGGGTTGATTGTTTGATGGTTGAATATAATAATTATATTATTGTGGGTTGAAAACCCTATATGCTCACCAGGCTCCCAAGTCTGACCCACTCAGTTTTCTTTGTATCACAAGTATCGATACAAAGATATATTTCACGGAGAGATTAAAGGAGATGTAAAATCTTTAGTGTAAATAATGTAAGTTCTGTTTATGCTTATGTGTTTGTATCGGAATATGACATCCCAAGATTTTGTTATATAATGAAAATACATTTCTTTAAAGAAATGCTTTGATAATTTTTATCATATTTTGTTTTGGGAACAAATTCCGCAACTGTTTTCTTTAAAAGATTACTCTGATTTTAAAAACAAAGCATAAACAAATCGGTCTTTTCTGGCCGAGAAATTGGGGATGTCACAGTTGGTATCAGAGCATTAGTTTAAGCGAACTAGGAATTTGTAGGATTTCTAGACTTAAACTTAAAATGCTAAGTGAAATTTTGAGATGTGTTTCTGTTGTGTTTTAGACACAAGCACTAGTTTATTTTAGGAAAGTTGCCTAAAATGCTTTTATGTGCTAAATGTTATATGTTGCCATATATGATATTATTTGTTTGGATCTATGGTCTGTTGATGAACAGATCTGGAAACCTTATGTGTATAGGATTCTAAGCGTAAGTCTATGATATTAGAACTAACATGTAAACTTTTCGGAGTGATAAGGATGATTTGAATATCTGTCGTGAATAAGGATTTAATTTCACCTTATTCGGTGTATAGATAAAAAATGGTGAGAACAAGAAGTGGAGTTGGAAATGTTGATGAAAACAGGAATCAACCACCAGTGATTGAGCAAATATCTATCATAGCAGCAACACCTGAGCCGATAACAATGGCTGGTGTACAATTGATGATTCAGATGATGTTGGATCATCAGATGGATGAAACGAGACGTCTGCTTCAACATAATTGTGAAGAACTGTTAATTCAAGTGGAAGAGCCCGAAGTGAATGAATGGCACTCGGAAGGGGGAAACTTCAGTGGATCTGTTGGTCATGCCAACCCACCGATAGTTAGGCAAAACAACCAGAATGGAAGGAATGAGGGAATGGGATGCAAGTATAAGGATTTTCTGACTTGCAAACCATCGACCTTCACTGGAAAGGAGGATCCGATCGGAGTTATGGATTGGATATCGGAAATGGAGCTAGCCTTCATGACGTGTGGTTCCAAGGGCAAGTTACAAACCATATTTGCAGTGCGTCAGTTCAGAGGTGGCCCTGTTCGCTGGTGGAACACTCTGGGGAAGAACCTAAGCCCTAACGAGCCACTGCAACTGTCTTGGGCAGAGTTCTTGGTGCAATTCAAGCGCAAGTTCTGCTCAGCCCAAAACCTGCTAGAGTTGGAGAACAAATTTTTGATATTGAAGAAAGACAACATGTCAGTGGATGAATACACTAATTCCTTCACAGACAAGATGGAGTTTTCTTTGCGCATCGTCCCAGACGAGTTGACAAAAGTCAACCGGTACGAAAAGGGACTCCCATGGGAGTATGTGGTGCCAGTGCGTCAGACACCTACTCTAGAGGCAGCTATTTGGGCTGCCAAGTCTGTTGAGAATATGATCAACGGGAGGACCGCCAACAAGGTTGAAGTTGGCGAGAAGAGAAAGTTGGACGGAACTTCAGGTTCTAATGAGAAAAGAAAATTCTCGAAGCCTGGAGGAGGAGGAATAGATGAAGCAAGGTGGTGCGATAAGTGAAATAAGAAGCACTCGGGAAAATATGGCATGGAGGTGACATGTTTCAAGTGTGGAAAGCATGGGCACTACGCTGATGAATGTATATTCAACAAAAAGGTGTGTTACGAATGTAACGAAGAGGGGCACTTTAAGCAAGACTGCCCAAGGAAAAATCAAGCAGCAAGGCTAGAGGCACCACCAAAGCCAAAGGCAAGAGCATTTCAAATGATCCTTGATGAAACAAATGGCAATGCAAGGAATCATGAATGAGGATTTTATATCCAAAGATCAAGTTATGAAGAAGCAGTGTGAATATTAACTTATGGTATAGCCTATTAGAGGCATAGTATAGGGTGAACTTGAACTTTTGTGTAACAGTTTCAATAAAGTAATATAAACCCTAGTTTTATTATCTGGTGTGTTGAATGATTGTATGATGACTTGGTTGACTGCGAGACAATACTTGGGACGAGTATGAGTAGGTGTGAAAGGTAGTAGATGCATATATTACCGGAAGCACAGGACTCGCACTTGGATCAGGGAAAGTTACAAGGTTACCAAGAAGCTAGTAATTGATTCCGTTTTGTTCAAATGTGTCATTACCTTTGTTTCGGTAGTGACTAGTAAGATGATTGTTATTCCGACCCTAGTGGTCATATTCAAATTGAGTCTGACTACGGTGGGTATGTTACGTGGTTCATAGAACCAAGTTCGAAGTAACATCTGACGTAAGTCAGAAGATTGAAGTTAATGCGATCATTGGTATCGCACTCGTTGTTCATAAAGTTTGTAGCTAGAAATGCTACATGCTGAAATGTGATTATATCACATTAGAATATGAAGGAAGGTATATTCCATTCTGGAATTTAACTTTAAAAAGACTGAGTCTAAGCGTCGCATCGTGCGATGAGAGGTCAGTAAAGTACGACCCATCGGTGTGTTACAATAGATAAAGGAAAGTGTTTATCCTGAGAAGAAGAAGGAGTTCACAATAAGGACTTATTTTGTAACTTGGAGGTT